GTATGAGCAACTGATAACACATACTGTATTACTTGTCTAAATTAACTGTAATGACAAATCCACAAATTTACAATGCACGTATTTGTGTACATACTGCAGTCCTCTCTTCAGGGCCTCGTACACCTCGTCCAGCCTCTCAGGCTGGGGCACCTTTGGGGGAGGAGATTTAGTGGACAGCGTGAACATCCTGCTTGCTCTGGAGGGAGTTTTCCTTATACACGCTGGGGTGCTGAACACAGAAAGGTTCCTAGGACACATAAGAGGTACATAAAGCTTAAGTACACATTTATCATGTTTGAGGTCATTTAAACACTTTCTCAAACCCTAATTTAATGTGTCAACTACAACAGTATGTTTTAAAAAAATAATAATAATTTAATTTTTTATGCCAACTTTTATATATACTTTTAAATATAATTATATATATATATATTACATTTTTTTTAAATCTCAAAAAATATATTAAAATATATTAATATAAAACAATAAATTAAGAATACATTTAAAAGCTATTCTTATTTCACCTTATGTTACCTTACTTTCTCATATTTAAATCAGCAGAATTCACAACTATAATGCTGAAAACATCCCAGGAAACCAAACATTTGAGTCTGTATGGCATAAAGTTTGGCAAAAGATTTAGTGACAACGCAGAAAAAGACCTGTAAGGGAGGTGACATTCCCATTAACCGGACGGAAATGCTCTCATCATCCTTTTGATTGAGCCCTGAACTATAAGTAAACATTTTGTTTACAACAGGATCTGTTTTTTCGACCAATGGAAGACGAGGGGTTTGAATGCAAAAAGTATTATAGTCAGCCAAAGAAACAATCTCTTATCTAAATCAATAGCGCTTTAGAACAACACTTGTGCTGATCGATTCAAGCTGCAATTACTCTTCCAAGATGACAGCTCAATAAAATGGAGAGAAACACTGATGCATCTTGACACAATTTTCTCCTGTAAAGCTGTATGAGGATAAAGCAACAATAGTTGGAGCAACACAGAAAGAGTGGGAATGATAGGGAAATCAGTTATTTAACCAATGTTATTCTTTATTGTATATTTTTAACCCATATTCGTGTCTATCTTTCATCCTCCCGTTCATTCTTTCAGAATCTTTTGTTCGGTGTTCCTCCCTGTTGTCCTGATAGTGGCCTTCTTTAATGTTTCATGCTTTCTCTGTCTCTGCTCTATTTCAACAGCAGGGGTTTGAAGAGAGTTCTACATGCTTTTGAATCAAACTACATCAACCACAAGAGTCAGCGGCTCAAGAGCCACTCTGCCCCTCTAAAAAATTAACGCGATGCCAAATACTTACCTTTAAAGGGGTCATATGATGCGATTTCAAGTTTTCCTTTCTCTTTGGAGTGTTAACAAGAAAATAATGATCTTTAAAAAAGCATCATATGACCCCTTTAAAACACAGCACACATACACTTGTACAAAAACAACACTTATTTATTCAACAGATAAAAAAAGAGAAAATTATTCAACCAAGTCTGTGTGGAGTGTACAAAATCTACTGGCTACAAAATCAACACAGATTTTCATGAAAATCTGTCCCGTTTTGTTCGAGCAAAGCCTTTTTGTAGACAAGTAGTGGTCGACCGATATTGTTTTTTTGACAGCCGATGCCGATATCTTGGAAAGCAGGGTGGCCGATGGCCGATATAAAGCCGATATAATTTTATTTATTTTAATTAATGTTTAAGAAACTTTAAATAATTTGAAAATGGATTAAAAAGTAAATGTGTTAAATAAACATACTTATACTTTAGATGACAAAGTATTTTTCACAAATAAATAAATATTTATTAAAAAATATAATAAAAAAAGGAAGTAAACACTGTAACCAACAGGGCACTCAGTATTCTGGTAAGTTTGTGTGCATTGGGATTTGGGAATCATATTTTTTCAAATAAAGCCAAGGTAACACTCATTTTATATACAGCACACAGTGGAAATTACATGAATATGGCAGTGGGCAAATGCATAAAGCGCAGCATAATTTGAAATCACGAGTTTAAAGTTTGTCGATCGCGCATCTCCAGTGAAGCTGAACTCTCCTTCTGTCCGCATTCAATATGCACGGATCGACCGTCACGCAGAGAACACGCGATCAAAATAAAAGTCCCGCCTCGAATGCATCGGCCAAACAGGAAAACTTACCGGCCGATGCCGATATTTTAAAAATGCCAAATATCGGCCGATATATCGGCCTTGGCTATATATCGGTCGGCCACTATAGACAATGATAAATGTCCATGCATTCCTGCTGCCTGCAGCTATTAGGAAATGTATGCTGGTTCCACAGGACGTCCTGTCAGATGTGACTTCCCTTTAAAGATGTTTAATGGTCATAACTGAAAAGGCTAATGCTATATATTGTGAGCACTTGCTCCAAGTTAACCTTTTGTGTTTTAGGCTAGGGTAATAGACATTAAAATCATCAATATATCATGAGTATTTGATATATCACCCATCCCTAATGCATGTTGATTGTTTGTGGATGTATATGTTAACACTGACCTGTAAGATTTATCGTAGGAGTTGACTCCGGCGAAGGACTGGCTCCTAGTGATGGATCTGGCGACGACCCTCCGCGTGGGGCGCACAGAAAGGGACATGGTGGACACAGCTTTGGAGGGACTCCCTGCAGAGAAACAGGAATAATTAGATGAGGTCAAAGTTGGGTACAAAGACATAACATCTACTGGTAAAACAGTCACCGAATAAAACAGGACATCATTTCTAAATGAAAGTCTATTCTAGAGGTGGTGTCTTTGCATTTGCATCTTTGTTACTGTTTAAAATTTAGGCAATAAAATCCCATTATAAGACTTTGGTGCAGTGCTCCTCAGGCCATGGATGAATCAGTGAATTGTTTAATTTATTTAACAGAGGATATTGCGGTTCTCTAAGGATAAACTCTCTGACCACTCAAGATAAAAGCATTTTAGATTCATTTTAACTGTATTTCCAGGAAACAATATCAGACCTAATAGCTGTTTACATTGAGTCTTTGAAAGGAAAATACCTGACTAATCTGAGCTTTGTAACTCTTTTCTTGTGTACATTTCATAGTTCATCTCAAACTATGTGTAAAACACAATGAAAAGACAATCAGTCTTGCAACTAAAAAGAAGAAAAGCAAATTATTATAAACAAGTGAGGTTTCAGGTGAAACACTCACCCCTACTATTGCAAATCCAAAAGTAGGTAATCTGTTCGTCCTCCAAAAACTAAACCCACAAAGTCGTTCATGTGTCATCATTTATTCACTTCTCTGCCATTCCAAATCTGTATGACTTTCTTTCCTCTGTGTAAAATAACTATGATGTTTTGAAAAACAATGGTAACAAACCAATTTACAGTTCCCATTGGCATTCATTATATTTTTGGTTACCAACATTCTTCAAAATACCTTATTTTATGTTCCACAGAAAAAAAGAAAGCAATAAAGGTTTGGAATGACATGAGGGTAAGTAAACTATGTTCCATTTCACATATCTGTCGCTTTTAAAAGTCAACAAGAAATGGCATGATGAGATAAAATAAGTATTTCTGAGTGAAAAAAAAATACTGAAAGAGGGGAAAAACCTGATTTTATCCATAAGGAATTGACTGGATCATGAAAAGCAGCATAGTTAGATAATGTTTGGGATGGGACAGTATGATAAACAGGAGTTCTTGGTGACATCACCTAAGAAGCAAAGTTTTTTCAGAGACGATTTTCTTATTGGGAACCAAAGAATTGTTCAATAAGTCAAGAAATATGTGTCAAGAGACTATATGGGGTAAATTTTGGTTTATATTGGCTTTAATGACTTTTGTCCATGCAATGAGTTCCATAGAAGTCATAAGGGTTGGAACAACATGAGGGTGAGGTCAATGATGGCAGAATGCCCATTTTTGGGTGAACTATCCCTTTAAAGTTTAAAATCGACCACCCTGACTAATGATGATCAGTTGTCATATCTTAACATTAATCCAGACAGAAATGGGCAGGAAATATAAAAACTAAATAGAGGGTATGCATTGACGTCACTTTCCTGCCGGAACATGCCCCCTTCAGCCGGACTGAGTGGCAAAAGAGCCTGCTGCATGACTGGATTTAATAGTGAATCTGTGAAAACGCGAGTAAAACAAATGATAATCAGTTTAAACTAAAGGTTGTTGGACTCGATATAGTGTTCCTTACAACTTAAAGATCCAGTGGTCAATGGATATTGATATGCAGCCAGGAATCATGTTTCCTGACATTTATATGTGCCTGACTGCGACGCCGGGGAAATACATAAAGCAAATTTAACTGTGAACGCATTTTGTAAATACAAAATAAGTTGGTCAAAATCTCGGTGATCACTTATATCAATGTTATATATATCATCCAGCCCAAAAACGTAGGCCTATATAGTTTTTGTTAGTGGTTGGCATTTTTCAAATGTCGGCATCAGCCGATAAGTTTTTCTGTTTGGCCGATGTGTTCGAGGCGGAACTTTTATTTTGACGGCGCTGAGAACGGCAGCGCCTGAGAGCGCACACCGCTCACATTCTCCCTCTTGTTCGCTGTCGTCATTCAGTTCTGTCTAATCAGATAGAACTGTTAAACAAAGGAATTAAAATGTATACAAAAAAGTATTATAACGATTGCTTTAATATTATTAGTAATAGAAAGGCAAATATTTTAATACTTTCTCATTTGCCGTCAGCATTCAGCAAATACGCATTTATATCATTTAAACAAATCTTTGAATGACTAATGAACATTTAGTTTCACAGACCTTGCAAACTTAGTCGGATCCAGTTGGGAGATCTTGTGAAGTGTGCATGTGTATCCTGCATGATCGCGTGTTCTCTGCGTGACGGTCAGTCCGTGTGAATTGAATGCTGACAGGAGGAGAGTTCAGCTTCACTGGAGACGTGCGATCAACAAACTTTAAGTGATTTCAAATTATGCTGCGCTTTATGCATTTGCCCACTGTCATATTCATGTCATTTTCATTGCGTGCTGTATGTAAAATGAGTGTTACCTTGGCTTTATTTGAAAAAAAAAAAAATATGATTCCCAATGCACACAAACTTCCCAGAATACTGAGTGCCCTGTTGGTTACAGTGTTTACTTCCTTTTTAATTCGATTTTTATTAAATATTTATTTATTTATGAAAAATGTGTTGTCTTCTAAAGTATAAGTATGTTTATTTTACACAATTATTTTTTATCCATTTTCAAATGATTTAAAATTTCTTAAATATAAATTAAAATAAATAAAATTATATCGGCTTTATATCGGCCATCGGCCTCCCTGCTTTCCAAGATTTCGGCATCGGCTGTCAAAAAACCCATATCGCTCGACCACTAGTTTTTGTCAATGTTTATTTAAAAACATCCAGTTTTGCAGAATATAAGATGGTAAATATTTAATTAATGAGTTGTCAATATGATAACAATTCAATATATAGGGCATGATTTTACCGCAAAATTCAACATATTAACATAAAATGATAACTGCAAATCCATGTTTCACTGCCTGGAGTGGAGTCCATTTGTTTCTGTGAATTGCAGGGATCCATTTGCTTCTCTTTTCTGTAGATTTTGACAGTCTGTAAAAATATACCTTAGATTTCTTGTCAAATCTATTTGTACAGTCAATCGCAAAGCTCTTTCTCATTTTAGATGTGTTTTGTGTGTTCTGTCCCAGCATTCATGCTGCAAACCAATGTTGTCATTAGGGCTGCACGATTAATCGAATGCGATTGTCATGCGCATTTTGTTAAAAAAGCCGGTTCTGTAATCAGCAAGAAATCATCATCACGTGCTTTCAGATGGAGCAGCATTTACTAGTTACACAAATCGCAGACGATTAAGAAATCGTCGCGATAATGACAGCTGTTTGCATAGCTTCTCAGTGAACAGTGAACCTGTGAAGTAAATGCTGCTCCATCTGAAAGCATGTGAAAATACCACATTTAATAAAATTTTTATTCCAAACTCACTTCATAACGTCAGTTGAGTGTTTGAAATAAATCCTTCTGAGATGATGTGGCTTCTTACACATACTTTATTATTATAATAATAAGAACTCAGATAAACTGTATATTGCCGTAGTCGTGTGTTTATTAGTCATATTAGTCACATGAAAGCAGTTGAATCTTCTGTTTATTCAGCTG